GAATCATTTCTCCAAAGAAGATAAAACAAATGGCCAAAAAGCACAAAGAAAGATGGTCAAGGTCATGGGGAAATGCAAATCAAAACCCCAGTGACATCGCACTTCACCCTCACAGGGATGGCTGTGGCCACAAGAAAACAGGTGTTGGCTGAGATGTGGAGCAATTGGATCCCTCATTGATTGCTGGTGGGAATGTAAAATGATACAGCTCCTGGAAAACAGTTTGGCAGTTCCTCAGAGAGTTAAACATAAAATTACTGTGTGGACGAGAAATTCCACTCCTGGGTATATATAGCAGAAGGCAAGAACACAAACTGATCATTGTACAGCAGTGTTCATTATAGCACTATTCACAGTAGCCAAATATGGAAATAAGTGGAAACAGCTTAATTGTCTAGTAGCAGATGAATGGATAAACAAAGTGTGGTAGAATGGAGTATTAGCCATAAAGAAAAAGTCCTGATTCATGCTGACATGGATTAACTTTGAAAACATGCTAAGTCAGTCACAGAAAACAAATACGGTATAACCCCACTGCATATGGGCTAGGCAAGAGGTCTAGAAACCAAACTGGTTGTCAGGAGTGGGGGGAGGAGGAGGAGGACTCAGTGCCTAGGGGACACTGAGCATCTGGTAAGGGTGAAGGTTAATTTCAGAATGAATAAGGTTGGTGGTCGTACACTATGATAAACATAATTGTCATTGAACTGTATACGTGAAGATTGTTAAAAGGTCAAATGTTTTGTATTGACCACAGTAAGATCATAAGATAGTTAAGCATAGATAACCACACCATGCCCCTTGCCAGTGAGTCACTTCTGACTCATAGCAACCTTGTAGGACAGAGTAGAACTGCCCCGTAAGGTTTCCAAAGCTGTCATCTTTACGGAAGCAGACTGCTCCATCTTTATCTCTTGGAGCTGCTTGTGGATTAGAAACTCTCACCTTTCAGTTGGAAGCCTAGGGCTAAACTACTGCGTCACCTGGTGGTCTCCTAGAATTACCATTTAAAAAAAAAAAAAACAGCTGCCATCGAGTCGATTCCAACTCACAGTGACCCCCCACCTTGGGTTTCTGAGGCGGTATCTCTACGGAAGTAGATTGCCCGATCTTCCGAGGAGTGGCTGGTGGGTTTGAATCACCAGCCTTCTGGTTAGCCGTCAAATGCTACACCACCAGAGCAGTTCCATTCCTAGATATATCCCCAAACAAGTGAAAGCACACAAATACACGAGTATTCACTGCAGCACTATTCACAATAGCCAAATGGTGCAAACAACCTCAATGTCTGCCCACAGCCGATCAACAAAATAGGGTGTACATAGATGATGGAGTCCTACTCACCCACAGAGAGAAATGACCTTCTGATGAATGCTGTGACAGACAACCTTGGGAACATGTTGAATCAAATAGGTCAGGTATAGAAGGACTAATAATGTATGATCCCACTTACATGATATATTTAGAATAAGCAAATGTATAGAAACCAGAGTGTTTTAGTGGTTACTGGAGAGGAGGGCAAGGAAGGGCATTGTTGCTTAGGAGACACTTGGTTTCTGTTAAAACCCAAACCAAACCAAACTCAATGGCACTGAAAAGATTCCAGCTCATAGCGACCCCTCTTGGGTTTCCAAGGCTGTAAATGTTTACAGAAGTAGATCCTCATCTGCCGCAGAGCAGCTGCTGGGTTTGAACTGCTGACCTTCTGATTAGCAGCCAAATGCTTTATCCACTATG